CAAAACGAGCAAGGATAACTTTCATATACAGGACAAGGAATCATTTTACCTCTGTGAGAAACTTAATACATTGTCTCCGTTATTCATTTCACCTCTGACCAGTGGTAAGCCCACTAAACGCGGTCTGGGGCCCACTGCCTTGCTTATAGCACATGGTCCTCAAACTTAAGCACGCATAAAAGAACCATTTGGAGAGTTCAGACCGGGTGTCCGGGCCCAACCCTCCATCCGGATAGGGCTGGTCTGGGGTGGAGCCTGGGGATCTGCTTTTCTAACCAGCTTCCAGCCGGTCTCTATCAGAGGCCTACTCTGTGTAGCACTGGCTACAAGGTTCTCTGCACTTCTCCCCCTTAGTCTTCCAAGTGTGACCCAGAAGCACCTTTCAGGAAGCCTCCTCAGGCTGTCCTGAGTAGAATACAATTTCTTGCTTAAACACATTCCCATCCATCTTTTTTTGGCCGTGACACATGGCTTGTGGGATATGTTCTCCAATCAGGGATTGAACCCAGGCCATGGCAGTGAAAGCCCAGAATCCTAACCACTGGGCCACCGGGAACCGCCCCCCCAACCCCGCATCTGTCTATTTTTCTTAGCTGAGACTCTGCCATTTTTTGTCAGACAGCTCACTGTGTATCAATGTCCATTCTTTCCAAATTCTGACTATACAATGATAGTACCCAGGATTTTCAGCTGGGCACTGAAATAACGACTTTCCTAGTATCCTTTGCTGTGGTCACGTGGCTAAGTTCTGGCCAATGGGAAGTGGACGTTGGCTTATCTCCCCTCCTTCCAGTTAAACAGAATGAGGAGGTAGTGGTGGCACTGGGGCAGTTACCAGGCCCATGAGGTGGCAGCCCTGTGTTTGACTTGAGGACGGTAGAGCAACAAGACAGCAGCCGGAGTCAGGACCAGCAGTCGCCGCACCAGCTCTGGGCTGACTGTATTTACAGAAGAGACAGAGGAAAAACATATTTTTGCGCAAGCCACCGATCGTTTGGCTTTTCTGTCGGCTTCAACCGCTCCAGCCCTACCTTGTACAGACCCTGGCTGTCCTGGGGGCACTGCTCTGTGGCACAGCCATGTCTGGCCTGGCAGCCCTGTAGGGCTCACATGCAGTCAGCCCTCTCAGTAACTCGTGGGAAAAACTTCCAAGAAAATAGGTTCCTTGCTTAAATATTTGTAAAATATTTTTTTACAAACCCCAAATAACGGTATCATTCTGTGCTTTATTTGATAGCCCATCTCAGGATTAAAATCAAATGGAATTCTGAAGAAATAATCAGACTGGGGTCACAAATTTATACAAGAAGTTCAGTGTTGCCTTAAAAATAGTACAAAAATAGAAATCTAAATGTTTAATAATTAAAATGTTTAATAATAATAAAAAATGTTTAATAATTCTAAAATGAATTTTAGAATGAGAAAAGTCTCATAATATAAACTTTAAAGGTGAAAAACTATAGGGGCTTCCCTGGTGGCGCAGTGGAGAAGACTCTGCGCTCCCAATGCAGGAGGTCCGGGTTTGATCCCTGGTCAGGGAACTAGATCCCGCATGCATGCCACAGCTAAGGAGCCCTCCTGCCGCAACCAAGACCCAGCACAACCAAATAAATAATAAATAAATAAATATTTTAAAAAAAGGTGAAAGACTATAGAAATATAAAGCCGTCTGTAAATTACAGATATGCATGGTGGACTTCCCTGGTGGCTCAGTGGTTAAGAATCCACCTGCCAATGCAGGGGACACAGGTTCCAGCCCTGGTCCGGGAAGATCCCACATGCTGCAGAGCAGCTAAGCCCGTGAGCCACAACTACTGAGCCTGTGCTCTAGAGCCCGCACACCACAACTACTGAGCCCACGCACCACAACTACTGAGCCTGTGCGGCACAACTACTGAAGTCTGTGTGCCTAGAGCCCATGATCTGCAACGAGAAGCCACCGCAATGAGAAGCCCGTGAACCACAAAGAAGAGTAGCTCCCGCTTGCTGTAGCTAGAGAAAGCCCGTGCACAGCAATGAAGACCCAACACGGCCAAAATTAAATGCATTTATTAAAAAAAAAAAAGATACACATGGTAAAAAGCCTTTCTATCAAAATGTTAAAGGTTATCTCTGTGTGGTAGAATTAAAGATGATTTAATTTTTCTCTTGGCATTTACCTATGTCTTCCTCATTTCCTACAATAAACATGTTATTACTTTTAATTATTATTATTTTTTTGCAGTATGCGGGCCTCTCACTGTTGTGGCCTCTCCCGTTGCGGAGCACAGGCTCCGGACGCGCAGGCTCAGCGGCCATGGCTCACGGGCCCACCCTCCATCCGGATAGGGCTGGTCTGGGGTGGAGCCTGGGGATCTGCTTTTCTAACCAGCTTCCAGCCGGTCTCTATCAGAGGCCTACTCTGTGTAGCACTGGCTACAAGGTTCTCTGCACTTCTCCCCCTTAGTCTTCCAAGTGTGACCCAGAAGCACCTTTCAGGAAGCCTCCTCAGGCTGTCCTGAGTAGAATACAATTTCTTGCTTAAACACATTCCCATCCATCTTTTTTTGGCCGTGACACATGGCTTGTGGGATATGTTCTCCAATCAGGGATTGAACCCAGGCCATGGCAGTGAAAGCCCAGAATCCTAACCACTGGGCCACCGGGAACCGCCCCCCCAACCCCGCATCTGTCTATTTTTCTTAGCTGAGACTCTGCCATTTTTTGTCAGACAGCTCACTGTGTATCAATGTCCATTCTTTCCAAATTCTGACTATACAATGATAGTACCCAGGATTTTCAGCTGGGCACTGAAATAACGACTTTCCTAGTATCCTTTGCTGTGGTCACGTGGCTAAGTTCTGGCCAATGGGAAGTGGACGTTGGCTTATCTCCCCTCCTTCCAGTTAAACAGAATGAGGAGGTAGTGGTGGCACTGGGGCAGTTACCAGGCCCATGAGGTGGCAGCCCTGTGTTTGACTTGAGGACGGTAGAGCAACAAGACAGCAGCCGGAGTCAGGACCAGCAGTCGCCGCACCAGCTCTGGGCTGACTGTATTTACAGAAGAGACAGAGGAAAAACATATTTTTGCGCAAGCCACCGATCGTTTGGCTTTTCTGTCGGCTTCAACCGCTCCAGCCCTACCTTGTACAGACCCTGGCTGTCCTGGGGGCACTGCTCTGTGGCACAGCCATGTCTGGCCTGGCAGCCCTGTAGGGCTCACATGCAGTCAGCCCTCTCAGTAACTCGTGGGAAAAACTTCCAAGAAAATAGGTTCCTTGCTTAAATATTTGTAAAATATTTTTTTACAAACCCCAAATAACGGTATCATTCTGTGCTTTATTTGATAGCCCATCTCAGGATTAAAATCAAATGGAATTCTGAAGAAATAATCAGACTGGGGTCACAAATTTATACAAGAAGTTCAGTGTTGCCTTAAAAATAGTACAAAAATAGAAATCTAAATGTTTAATAATTAAAATGTTTAATAATAATAAAAAATGTTTAATAATTCTAAAATGAATTTTAGAATGAGAAAAGTCTCATAATATAAACTTTAAAGGTGAAAAACTATAGGGGCTTCCCTGGTGGCGCAGTGGAGAAGACTCTGCGCTCCCAATGCAGGAGGTCCGGGTTTGATCCCTGGTCAGGGAACTAGATCCCGCATGCATGCCACAGCTAAGGAGCCCTCCTGCCGCAACCAAGACCCAGCACAACCAAATAAATAATAAATAAATAAATATTTTAAAAAAAGGTGAAAGACTATAGAAATATAAAGCCGTCTGTAAATTACAGATATGCATGGTGGACTTCCCTGGTGGCTCAGTGGTTAAGAATCCACCTGCCAATGCAGGGGACACAGGTTCCAGCCCTGGTCCGGGAAGATCCCACATGCTGCAGAGCAGCTAAGCCCGTGAGCCACAACTACTGAGCCTGTGCTCTAGAGCCCGCACACCACAACTACTGAGCCCACGCACCACAACTACTGAGCCTGTGCGGCACAACTACTGAAGTCTGTGTGCCTAGAGCCCATGATCTGCAACGAGAAGCCACCGCAATGAGAAGCCCGTGAACCACAAAGAAGAGTAGCTCCCGCTTGCTGTAGCTAGAGAAAGCCCGTGCACAGCAATGAAGACCCAACACGGCCAAAATTAAATGCATTTATTAAAAAAAAAAAAGATACACATGGTAAAAAGCCTTTCTATCAAAATGTTAAAGGTTATCTCTGTGTGGTAGAATTAAAGATGATTTAATTTTTCTCTTGGCATTTACCTATGTCTTCCTCATTTCCTACAATAAACATGTTATTACTTTTAATTATTATTATTTTTTTGCAGTATGCGGGCCTCTCACTGTTGTGGCCTCTCCCGTTGCGGAGCACAGGCTCCGGACGCGCAGGCTCAGCGGCCATGGCTCACGGGCCCAGCCGC